AAGATACTAATATTTATTATTGGAAGGGGGATTAGGATGATTGCTAGGTGTTAAGAGAAAATGTAAAGATATGTGTTTATTATGGCATGTAATGGACTAGGACAGAGGCTCCCAGACTGTGTCCTGCTGCAACCTGAAGTGTTAAAAAATTAATGGACTTAATGCAAGCCATTTATAATTAAGTTGGTATTTTTTACTAGTTCTCCAACCTACTACTGTTTGGATAATGTTACGACGATCACGGATATATATTATATATGGTTTGTTATGGTTTTCTTCATTAAATAACTTCAATTTACTGCTCTTTTTTAACATCGCTCCTAACTCTCTGCCCAATATTTATTTTAGTCACTTTTATATTTTCCTATATGTCTCAATTAACAGAGTTATCCCACAATAATTCACGAAAAAATCATAACTTTCTTTAGAATTGACCTACAAACATAAATTTAGTATCAATGAATTGCATTTTTCAGGCCCTATCTAACCAACTAGCTCTTAAAGCTATAAATTCATTTTGAAAATTTTACCCAAGTACCTATTACTTGGTACTCTGTTCTTATTAAAGTAGCAGTTGGTTTTGTGCAGCATCTATGCTGTATCTATTAAATATTGTTTTGATAGAGTCAAGTGAAGTTAATGAGGTATGTCTTCTTGTATAAGTATAAGGTTTCAAAAATCGATTAGATTGTTGAAAAAGTGCTATTTTACAGTGCACAAAGAATGTGGCTTATTAGAGCAAAATTGAAAAGACGTGGGTGCTGGATTTTTTCTTGGCCGACGCTCAAGTGGTAGATTACCTATAGAACTATATTAACAGAGTTAAAAAAATACATAAAAATTATAAACATAAACGTATTCTTACTTGCTTTTAGCTTTACGTCACTGTTCTTCGTGTTTCTTAAACGCTACCGGTTCATAAAGGTCTTCAAAAAATGGCACATGTCTCGATTGATAGTAATGGCTCTCTCTAAGATGGCAAACCAACAGGAAGTATCCGTCATAACCGTCACGTGACCAACCGAATATTATAAAACCCTCACGTGACCAGCCGTGTCCGAATAGCTAATTGCTGCTATAGGTACCTATGGCCACTCCGCAGGCAAAATGCATTCTGGCACGCGTTGAATCCTCGTTTGTTTGAGCTGTTTCTGTAACGGTTTTACCTGTTGATGACAGCACACAATATTATGATAATTATTTGATATTGTCTGAGCTCTTCGTGGCCTTGTACCATGAGGTAGGAGTTATCGTGGTTCAGAGGAATTCCATTTGAACAATTGCATTACAGTAGCTTCTTTGACAACACCATCCCAAGTGTCATTATTTCACAATAACATCCCAAGTGTCATTGTTTCAAAACACCCTCCCGAGTGTCATTGTTTCGAAACGCTAAAAGATCCTCTTTGGTAGGATTCTAGCAGATAAATAATTCTTACGATAATGAATTGGCTCTTCAGCTACAAGCAAACAACGCAGAGAATTGTCATCTTTTTCTTACTCACTGCCAATGGGACATAGGCCATCCACGATACTTTTCAATCTGTCCTTGTCCTGGGTTATCTTTGCTAGTTCAGCCCAACTTATCTTCATTGTCTTCACCTCTGCCTCGAATCCCCTCTTCCATGTGGCTCTTGGTCTTCCTCTTTTCCTGCTACATTGAGGTTTCCAATTCAGGGCCTGCCTTGTGATGTTAGTGTTTGGTTTCCTTAATGTGTGCTCTTTCCATCTCCATTCTCTCTTTTGTATATCTGTTTCCACTGGAACACTTGGTGTTCTCTCCCAAATGACAGTGTTACAAATTTTGTAAAACTGTCTTATTTTGAGGATCCTTCGCAAGCATCTATTTATAAAAACCTGCCGTTTTTTAATGTTTTTTATTTATAGTTCTCGAAGTTTGACAGCCTTACAGAAGAAGTGTGGCCTTGAAATTCGACTTGAAGACTTGAACTTTTGCTTTTGGTCAGTATTTCATTTGAGTTCCACATATTTCGCAGGGCATTGAATGCCCCCCCCCCCCCCGGGATTTTGGACCTTAAACTTTATGTCCTTAATCTGTCCCACCATTTTTCTTTNAAATGACAGTGTTACAAATTTTGTAAAACTGTCTTATTTTGAGGATCCTTCGCAAGCATCTATTTATAAAAACCTGCCGTTTTTTAATGTTTTTTATTTATAGTTTTCGAAGTTTGACAGCCTTACAGAAGAAGTGTGGCCTTGAAATTCCACTTGAAGACTTGAACTTTTGCTTTTGGTCAGTATTTCATTTGAGTTCCACATATTTCGCAGGGCATTGAATGCCCCCCCCCCCCCGGGATTTTGGACCTTAAACTTTATGTCCTTAATCTGTCCCACCATTTTTCTTTATGATTCTTCCCACGTATGTGAAAGTTTCAACTTCTTCAAGAGATGCTCCTCTCAAGTTAATCCCTATAGCCTCATCATCCCCTGCATTTATTCTTAAGGCTAAGGTCTTGGTTTTCTTTTCAGTTATGATAAGTACAAATTGCTGGGATACAGAGACACGGTTTATTGTTTATGGCTATGTGATAGAAGTGCAATGGCATCTGTTAAATCCAAATCTTCCAACTGTTCGTTAAAGGTGTCCACTGGATTCCATGTTCCCCATACTGTGTTATTTCTCATGATCCAGTCAATGGATAACAGAAAGAGGAAAGGTGAGTGCAGGCATCCCTGTCGAGCTCCAGATTCTATTATAAAATGGGTTTGTGAGTTCATCTTCATGTTAAACCCTGCAACTCATATCTTTGTATGTGTTCTTTATTAAGCTAGTTAGCTTTTGAGGAGTACCATAATTTCATAGTAGTTGCCAGAATGTATCTCTGTGCAAGCTATCAAATTAATGGTTTTTTGAAGTCAACAAAATTTAGGTTCAATGATGAATTCCACTCCACGCACTGTTCCATGATTATGCGCAGGGTTGCAAATTTAGTCACACCATGATCTGTTTTCTCTAATCATGCCTGTTCACCTCTTAGTTTGCAGTCTGTCACTTTTTTTTTATTCTCTGCAGAATGATTCTATTTACCGGTAGTATTTTGGTACAGACAGCACTATGATTCCTCTGTAGTTTCCAAACTCTTGGAGATCTCCTTTCTTTGGAAGTTTGACCAAGTGCCTGTCTCTCCATGCCTTGAGTATCTCTTCTTGGTCCCAGATGTCACAAACAGCTGGTGAAGTATGCTTGATGACAGTTCCAGATCCATCTTTAGTACTTCTGAAGGTATTGCACCACGGCCCACAGCCTTTCCGTTTTTCAATAGTTTTATTACATTTTTTAATTTCTGTTTTGTTGGGTAAATTGCAGTTAATGAGATCTTCTTCTACAAGGAGCATGTCAGGTGGTTCTTTTGGAGCTTACATTTATTAGTTCTTTGAGATATTCTACCAATCTTTTCTTTTGTTCTTCTTTGTGGTTAGCTTTATTCCACTTTGTCTTTGATTGACCTGCTTTGTTGATGAAACGTTTTTCCTGCCAGCCTCTTTATTGCATTTTATTATTGTAAAAATACGGATCATTAATATATTGAGCATATCAATAGTTTATAAGTTCCACTGGCTCAAGGCACAATTTACTTTTCTATTTTAAAATGTTATAAAAATGATAATTGAGTTATTTTTTATCAAATATATTTTCGTTTTATTGTTTTAAACATTGTATCCTTAGGGTGGAAAGGGGGGGGGG